AAATATTTATAGAATAGTCACCAGAAGGTTACATTATGGAGATGGAAAAGTGCATGAAGCCGAGATATCAGGTTAGGACTGTTAAAATTTAGAGATTTCTTTTTGGGTTTCATGAAGAATCTCTAAATACGTTCGCGGAATTATCAGATGTAACAGCAATATTCAATACATGAACAAATGATAGAAATGTGTACCATAGATTTATTATGCCTCTATTGTTGATGATGGCTTTTTTTTCATAGGAACAGGCTGATTGGGCGAAATAATAAGACGTTATCTTCTGACCTAGAAATTATAATATATGATTGCTGAAAAGCGACAATACACATTCACACACAGAAAGACGATGTTTGTATCCATTAAATGAGGGACTAGAGACGCTGGTATTTTATTGTGGAATGGAGTCAACTTATCCGGCGAATATAGGTCTTAACCTAAATGAATTCCTGAAAAATTGACTAACACAGCAAATGTCAATGTACCGATGTCAAAATCAGTGACATTTTTAAAAGTGCTGCAATTTTGTTTTCTACCAGTCTTATTTATTTCTCTATCTGTCATAGTAAACTGCTGTGACGTCACGTGGCATTTGTATGCTTTCATTTTTATTTTTCTCGTTATAAAATACTTAAATTTATTAGAACAGCTCTGTTAGGCTTATTCCAAACATTTAAGTTTTTATTGAATAAATAAGGATACACATGTTTTCTTCACAATACAAAATAACCACAGGGAATGAAGTCTTTTTTATTATACGCGAATAAGAGTTGGTCTTTCTTTTTACGACCATTCGTTGTCTTTTTCGCTTTTTGTTTCTTCTCTTTCTTTCTTTTTTTTTGCTTCTGATTTCCTTTGCTTTCTTGATTTTTATTTTACGTTTTCATTTTCTTATCTTTCTTTTCCTTTCCTTTTTATTCATCTCTGTTTTTCTGCTGATTCCATGTATATTTATGCTCTACGTGAGTCAAAGATTTGAGCTCGTGACTCCGAACCACTCAGATTTATTTCATTAGAGATATGACTTATTTTTTATGTGCCATGTCCCCACATAACATAGGTGATCACGGCACTCCATAATTCCCTGTCCCTCGTAGCTCTTAATTTTATCCTTTTGTTATTTCTCTTAAATCATTACTCAAACTCATTAAGAATGTTATGTGTTTTTTCCTCTTGCCTTCAATCTCTCCTGTGAGTATCTGATTTTCAATCCTTTTTTCCTCATTATGGGCCCGAGAAATTTCAACTGTATCTCGGTAGATAATAAGTATAAGTTTTCTTTTTGTTTCCATTTTCTATAATACTTTATCGTTGCTCACATATTCGGTCCATGGTATCCTCATCATCATTCTGTAGAGACATATTTCTGTATCTTGAAGTCTTTTCTTATTTTTAAGGACATTGTCCTGCATTTACTGCCATATAGGAAGACAGATATCATGTAACAGTTCAGTACTATTTTCCTTTCTATTTTTGTAAATCTGCAGAACTCATTTATAACCATATGCATGCAGTTTTCTGTCAGTATAGGTTCTTGATTATTCTAATATCCTTCTAAAATATATCAAGATTGCTAAGCAGTTTCAATAGATTGGAGTACTTTATCGAACGCCTTTTCATAATCTATAAAACACAGGTACATGTTCTTCTGCATTTGTATTGCTCTTTCTGAACATAGATATTGCATTTCTTGTACCATTTTCTTAGACGAATCCGCACTGTTCTTACTTCTGGCCTGATTTTGCTGCGGGGCATACTTTCAGACCATTTAATACTAACGCGGGTATTCTTCAGGACATTATTCTTTGGCCTATGCTGTTTCTGATCTTCATCAGAATTCCGATAAGTTTTGTTAAATGACTCACGAGGCTGATCGTCAGATGAAGTTCACATTTGTTTGCATCTCTGGCTTCTTAGGCCGTACTATAAAAATAGATATACTTCAGCTTTAAAACCACTATTGTAGATACCGTTTATTATTTCTGCAATTTTGTCTATCCCGAAATCATCTAAGGCTGCCAGCATCTATATTACGATTCTGTCTGGGCCTGCCGTTTTGTTTCTGTTCAATTTGACCAGTACAGATTCCACATCAGATTTTAACATTTCCAGACTTTCGATATTTCTATGTATTGCCTGTTGTTCACTTTCGTCGTGTAAGAAGAGTTCTCCGATAGATCCATTCTATCTCTGAAGTATTTATTTTTCCTCTAATATCATCGTTCTTTCCTTGGATTTTATGCATCCTTTTGATGAGCATGTCTTTTGTCCTGTTCACTTATTTTTTTTTAATGCTTTACTGCTTCATCGGTGATACTCGTTCTTTCTATTTCTACACATTTTTGTTGAGTCATTTCTCTCCAGCCTGCTTGTATTTGTTCCTTGGTTCATAGTGTAGCGTCCTATATTCTGTTCAGTGTCTTAGCTTGGTCCGACAGGGATTGACCTTCTCTGCAAGCACAAGTTCTACATCGTCACGAAGCGAATATTTGGTTTAATCCAATCATTCCTAAAAATATCGTGTAAATTAAGGTCGTTTTGAAAGGGCATACTTCCAGACCATTTAATACTAACGCGGGGGTTCTCCAGGACTTTATTCTTTGACCTATGATGTTTCTGATCATCATCAATGATCTCTCAATGCCAGCAGATCCCAAATAGGTATGTATGTCGATGACACAACCATTTACTTCTGTTTTAGTAGCAAGTCCGACAGAACCAACAAAGTAAACCTGGTAACTACTCTAGAAAATGGTTAGAAAAATCACTTATTAGAAATGGTTTGTAAATTTTAACGCTTCCAAAACAAATCTGATTTCATTCAATCACCACATGGCTGATGGTAAGCTCTTGGAGAGCAACACTGTTTGACCCTCGCGTGCAAGAAATAATTTTCTCGCCAGACTCCATCTTGCATCTATCATTCGTCCGTGCATTGAATATTGTTGTCATATCTGGTTTGGTACTTTTGCTGTATATCTTGAGATGCTTGACAAAATTCAAAAAAGGGTTTGTAATGTAATCGATCCTGACCAGGCGTCCCGACATCCGTCACTTTCTCACCGACATGACGTTGTTTCCCTCTGTCTTTTCTACGCAGTTTGAAAGAGTAAGTTTTTGCATGTTTCTTTTACAAAAAAATGTTAAAAGTTGTAACAGTAGGTCCGACCTGTCCACCCACCCTAATCGTCCCCCAAAAAAGGAGTTGTTAGACGATGTTGTCTACTTCATCCACCCCAGTTCCTAACTGTGTAGTGGGCATAGCTATCCCAGAATTCTCCCTTTGGTCTTAGCTTTCCCAAGGGTATTTGCTTGTAAGTGAATATAACGAACCCAACAGGAGTTGAAACTCAGCTATCCGATTAACAATTCCGAACCATTATTAATTACACCATCTGCGTATCCAATCTTACAGTACTCGATATATCCAAGCGGCCATCACTCTAGGTACTGACCGGTAGCGACGTTGCATAACTTAGATGATCGTACAGGAACTAGTGTTTCAGCGTGATGTGGCCGTAAGCACTAGTAGAACAGTAATTAGTAGCGATAACAAAAAGAAAACTTTTTAATAGTTACAAAGGACAGGGAATTATGGGAAGTCATTGTCGTCCACGTACTCGAATGATACGTCACTTGCAAAAAGATAAGACATAGCAGGCGGAGTCAGGTACTTACTAAAATTGTACAAGGAACCGACTATTTTTCCAGCATCTTTAGCACTGGATCGTATATATAAGTTCCACTTGAGTTCTGAACTTGAGACCCAACAGATTTTCAAAGCAAGAAGCTTCATTGAGAGTACAGCCGTGCATCTTTTCTTCTGATTTTAGAAACCAAGAAAAGTGTTCGTCCAATGCGTCATAGCCATAGGTATGATTCTGCGCTGTACGTTATGATGCAAATTCAAGTTCGCCTTAGAAAGATTGATGCTACACGTCTTCCTCACGGAGAAAAAATTCGCGTGCAGATTATGAAAGGAGGGAGAAGTTAAGACAACCGATTCGTTGCACAGTTGACATGTGGGAAGTAAGCCTATCTACGCAAGTTGGGTTTCCACGACAAAAAGAAATGTAACTTATATTTGGTGTCGCTAATATGTATGAATTCCATGGTGTTTTTTCATTTTTTTATTCAATTCTTTATGCAGTGGCTAAATTATATATTGATATTCGATAAGTGTTATAGAACTCTTCAGTTTCTGAACGACGTTGTATTATGCTAAAATTGTTGATTTATATATTTACAATATTTTCATCTATCTATCTATCTATCTATCTATCCAGAAACCCTGGATATTGATATTCGTAATGAGTTCATGTATTTTGGTCTTGTGCGGGATAAATATCCTGATGGATTTATATCTTCAATATATGACCTATAATTATGACCAGATGCAAGACATTTACATATAAATTTGGCGCAACAAAATCTTCTTCGCCTACATTTGGACTTGTAACGTAATAAGCTTAGTCAATATTATATATTCACTTTATTTTGGTATAAGGATCACTAAAAACAATGAATTAACTACATTTGCCAACTTGTCTGCTATAAGATAAATAAGATAAATGAAGGAATAGTAAATTTCTGTATTGCAGCAAAATATTGTAAACTTAAAACTGTATTTGAGTGCGAATTTGAACTGCTGACATTACCGTCTCTCTCTTTTCTTTTTTTTTTCCTTTTTTTTTTCGTGTTAATCTCTGTTACGTCACTTGATATCCCCACTGACATTCACTGTGACATTGCGATGATCACGTGACCAATATTTCCTTTGCTGTCTAACAAGAATTACATTGTTTTTTCTTTTTTTTCTTTCTACTGAAATGCGTTTAGCGACACTGTTTTACAGATATATATGTTAATGCGTTACAATGAGTTATTTTCGAAGGAAAATAATTTAAAAAAAAACACACATTGCTTACATAAGTGTTTATAAGCGTTATTAACAGTGAGAAAATAATAACCCAGAGCAAACTGTTATTGAACATCTCTACAAAATGAAATATGATGAAATTATTGAAGATGTTGGCGGTTGTGGATTATATCAAAAGTTTATTCTGACTTTTTTATACATTCTATCCGTGTTAGATGGCCTGCAGTTCGGTAGTTTAGTGTTTATCGCACCAGAAATAAATCATAGGTAAGTAATAATTTGCTTTTACATACACATATGATACATTCTTAACATTGATATTTAGTTAGTTACAAATGACAGTAAGATTACAAAACACCACTTGCTATGAAAATCTTACTTGCAAAAAATAAAACAATTTAAAAATGTGTTTTTAATATTTCTACACAATTAGGGCAAAACATTTCTGGAGCAAGGAAATGTGGCCTAAAGATCAGACAACACAACACCTGTCTTCCATGTTTGAGTAGCAATATTCCCTGGTCCAAGTGAGACACATTAACTGATGTCGCATTGAGAATAATGGCGGCTTTGTAAATAATATTGATTCTCTGTAATTTAGACCTTGCAATAACTCACCTTCAAGATCCAAATTACAATGAACCAAAATTATTTAAGAATACACATGTTCCTTAAGGAACTGTGTTCTTGATCAAACCAAATTCATAATTATATTGGATATACGACAACATACCTAACAAGAAGATTTACGTTACACATCTCTGATCATAGCTCAATTAGGTAGCATTTCAATACGCATAGAGACCTACCAAATTCCATCCGCAACATGCTCGTTGATAGTGCAAATATAATATCCTCATCCACATGTAAAAAAGGCTAAAAATAAGGGAAGCATTATTAATAAAAAAAGAAAAAACCAACACTGAATGACATCAGCTATAAACACGGACACAATGTACCCATCGTATTTGGAAAATAAAACATTCCTATAACTCTAGATACATGCGTAAAAATAATCCATACAATCAATTAAAAGTAAAAAATATAATCATCCTTGATAACAGCTTAAAGTATAACCGAAAGAAATACAGAATATTCGAACAATTTCTGCATAATTTATGTACAGAAAAGAAGAGACTCATAAGAACAAAAAAAGAATTAAATAAAAAAATAACATATTTAACAAAAGATATATATATATATATATATATATATATATATATATATATATATATATATATATACGTGAGCTGAAAGATTTTATGGAAACTCATTACTAAAGGTAGCGGAAAACAATTTTCAAAAAAGAAAAGCATTGTTTCTTTTCGAAGCAGAAAATCTTGGGAGATTGAGAATGAATGCAAATGAATTAATCTTTTTGCCTTATGTTCTCAATAAATGTCAAAACCATCCTAATCATCATTCTGTAGTGTCTATGGCGATGATGATGATGATGAGGATGATGATGATGATAAATTTCATGTAACTACACAAGTGGTACAATGATGAAACGCGTCGGAAAGGACTAAGTACTACTTTCCGATTGCCTATTTTACACATTTTTTCTTCTCTAAAGAGAATTTAACACGAAAATATATATGCATATATATATATATATATATATATATATATATATATATATATATATATATATATATATATATATATTTCCGTTGATGTTACTAGCACAAAGTCATAAGTCATCGTAACCGAGGTCTTTGTGCGTACTGGTCTTGTTCAAATTGCTAATCATGACAGATTATGAGCCTTCTCCCAGAAACCGAAACTAACGTCAGCTCAACATAGTTGTAATATTATCCACAAGTGTCTTCTGCGGACGTTGAACAAATACAAATGTGCCTAAGCTGGTTCCTACCACAGAGATTAATTAGCTGCCCTAGCATACGGGTGTGCTCGGAGAACGAAGGTACCCGGCAATTATGTATGTATGTATGAATACATAGCATAGTTGCAGTATAAACCACCGTGGATGTTGAAAAAAATAAAAATGTGTCTGAGGGGACTTTTGCAATAGAGATTGGCGTGCCACCCTAGTAGACTCGAATACGAGTGGTCAGCTATTATCTATGCTTGTATGCATAAGTTTTACAAATTAATATATCCGGTTCGATCCTTTTCTCTTTTATTTTTTTTCTATTTCTCTTTATTTCTCCCACGTATATTTTCTCTTTAATAATATAATTTCTCCCATTTCTCTTCCATATTTTCTTTTAATTTTCCTCTATAATTTTCGAAAATTTGCTTTCCTTAACCTTATCAATTCCAAAGTTTATTACACTTCAATATTCCTCTGAAAACACATTTTTAATATAAAGTATTTGAAAAGATTTTATTTATGTCATTTCTTATATTTAAGTAAAATGATGAGCGAACATAGAGAATTGCTAAATTGGTGAATTAATTTTCAAAAATCATTATTTAATGCGGGCCCTACAGATAATAATTACTATCTTTATCATATGATATTAATTATGACATAAAATGATTAAATACCCTTCGTATTTAATACAGACACCGATTGCTTTCCCAGAATCCAAGCTTGTGTTAATAATGATGTCTCATTAATTTATTAAATTATTTAAAACATAAATAGGAAATACTGTAAAAGAAACTCACAAAACTGAGTTTACTCCGATGTAATCACTTTTATATTTTCATTTTACATATAATAAACAAATATATCATCCCATCATTTTTAACGATATAATATATATATATATATACATGTGTGTGTGTGTGAAAATATATAGAACATAGGAAGGAACTGGTTAGGTAAATAATCCAACCAGTTCCTTCCTATTTTCTATATATTTTCACATATTATTGTAAGTATTAAATACCCTTCGTATTTAATACACTCCGAAAAAAGACACCGATTGCTTTCCCAGAATCCAAGCTTCTGTTGTTAATAATGATGTCTCAGTTACGTAGCCGTATTACATTATTAAATTATTAAAAATATAAATAGGAAATACTGTAAAAGAAACTCACAAAACTGAGTTTACTCCGATGTAATCACTTTTATGTTTTCATTTTATATATAATAAACAAATATATCATCCCATCATTTTTAATTATGTAATATATATATATACATATATATATATATATATATATATATATATATATATATATATATATATATATATATATATATGAAAATATATAAAATAGGAAAAAACTGGTTAGGTAAATAATCCAACCAGTTCCTTCCTATTTTCTATATATTTTCACATATTATTGTAAGTATTAAATACCCTTCGTATTTAATACACTCCGAAAAAAGACACCGATTGCTTTCCCAGAATCCAAGCTTGTGTTGTTAATAATGATGTCTCAGTTACGTAGCCGTATTACATTATTAAATTATTTAAAACATAAATAGGAAATACTGTAAAAGAAACTCACAAAACTGAGTTTACTCCGATGTAATCACTTTTATGTTTTCATTTTACATATAATAAACAAATATATCATCCCATCATTTTTAACGCGTATGTATATATATATATATATATATATATATATATATATATGTGTGTGTGTGTGTGTGTGTGTGTGTGTGTGTGTGTGTGTGTGTGTGTGTGTGTGTGAAAATATATAGAAAATAGGAAGGAACTGGTTAGGTAAATAATCCATCTATATATTTTCACATATTATTGCCTCCCTAATTTAAGTCGAGCACTCTCAACCTTTATTTTTAAATACTCCTTTAAAAATATGGAAAAAATCAATTTCGGGATTTCTCTCAAAAACAATCCACTAACAAACAATGTCGCGATTTGGAATCATATTATTAAATAAATAAATATATTTACGCTCTACTTTTGTATCGAGCACTATTTTTTAAAAAATAATAACTAAAATACTAAAGGACATTGGATTATTTACCTGACCAGATCCTTCCTATTTTTCTATATATTTTCACATATTATTGGCTCCCTAATTTAGGTCGAGCACTCTAAACCTTTATTTTAAATACTCCTTTAAAAATATGGAAAAAAATTAATTTCAGGATTTCTCTCAAAAACATTCCACTAACAAACAATGTCGCGATTTGGAATCATATTTTTAAATAAATAATTTTATATATATATATATATATATATATATATATATATATATATATATATATTACGATAAACGTACAATCAATTTACAAATTCATGAATTATTCACACAAAAACAAAAGCAAAGGTTAATGATTTAATTGGCGAGAAATCCATCATCGCAAACAATTCAAATAATATACAAAAACCTCCGAATCCGTTATGAATGAATTGATCCTTGTTTCCATAAATTTCTGCCGTATTAGTTCTTATTTTTACTACAAGCTTTCGTCTGTTCCTACAGACATCTTCAGGTATAGAATAGATGTTGTTTTTTCTCTTAGTAATAAGAGGACAACGAAAATATATGTATTGTTGTATCCGAAAATGCTATTGAAAATGAGTTATTGTTTTTGGAGCGCGCCAGTAGCAACGCTGAGTTTGATTTTAAATTTTTAAAGGTTGTGCGTTCATATAAATATGGTGATGAACGAATTTTTTACTGGTAAATTTTCTGTCAAAGTGGCATGACCTATTTCGTTCAATAATTACAGTAATGTCGCACTTATTATCCAAAAGTCGCACTTGGATCAGTTATTTAAATTACGATAAACGTGCAATCAATTTACAAATTCATGAATTATTCACACGAAAACAAAAGCAAAGGTTAATGATTTAATTGGCGAGAAATCCATCATCCCAAACAATTCAAATAATATACAAAAACCTCCGAATCCGTTATGAATGAATTGATCCTTGTTTCCATAAATTTCTGCCGTATTAGTTCTTATTTTTACTACAAGCTTTCGTCTGTTTCTACAGACATCTTCAGGTATAGAATAGATGTTGTTCTTGTTTTTTCTCTTAGTAATAAGAGGACAACGAAAATATATGTATTGTTGTATCCGAAAATGCTATTGAAAATGAGTTATTGTTTTTGGAGCGCGCCAGTAGCAACGCTGAGTTTGATTTTAAATTTTTAAAGGTTGTGCGTTCATATAAATATGGTGATGAACGAATTTTTTACTGGTAAATTTTCTGTCAAAGTGGCATGACCTATATTGTTCAATAATTATAGTAATGTCGCACTTATTATCCAAAAGTCGCACTTGGATCAGTTATTTAAATTACGATAAACGTGCAATCAATTTACAAATTCATGAATTATTCACACAAAAACAAAAGCAAAGGTTAATG